TAATAAGTTAAAGAAAATAAGTGTAAACAAGGTGTGAGTGTATAAACAACTGACAAATGGAGGTGGTTCAGAAAGAAACTGAGACTACGGGGATATGTGTAGTTATGAAATAAAGTGTTAAAAACAGTGTTATGATACACAAATGGCTGTCTCCCTTTTTTTATCGACGCTATTTGAGCCTCTTTTAGATTTTATAGGGTCTTGATAGGCTTCATTTTTTATCGAATTGTCTAGTGTGCTTGTAATAGGATTACTGGGTAGGAAGTGAAACCAATTCAACGTTCTAAACACGATTTAATGAGGTATCTTGTATGGTAAATCAGCATCAATACCATTGGTTCGTGACATTCCACTAGACCATAAGGAGCAGTAATTTAACATAATGTTCTGCCCCACAGACATGGGTGGATTGAAGTTATCTCCCCGCCATCATGTCTGCTGGTCAGTAACGCCACCCTCCTTCCTTTTGTGATGTTAGGCTCTCTTACGTTTGTGGTAAGTATACATACTGCTTTAATCAAAGCACATGGTTGGAATACACTGTCTCTACTAGTTCCATGTTACAAGCAAATCAGATAGTTAAGGCGTTTGTATTATGGGTTAGATGTCCATTTAGTATATCATACTGCTATGAAGATAACTAATGGTGAAAGTTGAAAAAAAACAGGTTAGATTATATGTGGTTTAAAGATAGTAGGACTAATAACAAATCAAATGATATGAAAGAGTATAAAATTGTAAAATTTTTAGGGTAAGAAAAATGAACCATTGAACAACTCACAAGAGTTTATGATCAGTTTTTAGCTTCGTATGATCGGCCTTAGCAGATCAGCATCCATAAGATTACTGAGTTATCTGTCTACTTGCAATAGAAAACAAAAAGAGACATGACACATATGAAGAATAATGTATATTTAACCAGTAGAGGGATTTGGGAACTGAAAGTGAGGGTTAGGAGCATCAGGCCTTGATTAATGCACAATGAACAATAGGAAACGGCAAACCGTATGTCCTGTAATTTAGTTGTATTCATATTAGAAATAGTCGGGCTCGTTATATTCTTGTCCATTTTAGATATTAGGCGGTTCATAATAAAGTGCTTCATTGGTGGACGGGAGTTCAAGGAAAGATTGAAGCTCTTTAGAGTCTAGAAACAGGGTTATTAGCCTTTTGAATCTGGTAAATGTGTCACAGTTACTGATAGGCAATGGCAACCTGTTCCACAATAAACTATACCGTACTGTAAAAAACTTACAACGCACTTGTTTTTGGTGTTTTACTGTGTGTAGTGTATATGCGTTGTTTGTTAGTCTATAGGCTGGGTCGTGAATCATAGTTGGACAGTAGGTTAAAAATGAGATTCCATATATCGCTTTGTAGAGAAATATTGAATTATTCTTTAGCCTACGGTGCCATAAAGGTTCTAAAGAGAGGTGCTTACATCTATCTGTGTAGTCGGCCTTCGAATAACTTCCCAGCAGTTGGCGTGTGAAGCGTTTTTGAACGCCTTTTACTCTTATCTTGTCGGTGGTATTCATATTAGAGAAGATAAAAGAGCAGTACTCTAGGGAAAATCGTACACATATTTTATAGAGTGTAAGCTTAGCCTCTGTTGTGAAGAAATTTCTCATTATGAAACAAATTTGCCATCTACATTTAGAAATAATAGATGAGGCATGTTCTTCAAAGTCCAGACTTTTTGTGTAATTAATACCTAGATCTTGTAGTGATTTGAGTGTCTGGATTCTACTTTTATTTAAATCAAGTTGCAGTTCATAGGGATGCTTTCCAAACTGCATGATCCCGCATTTGTTGAGGTTAAATGGTAGTTGCCATTTTTCACTCCAGATAGTTAAGTTATTGAAGTTATTTTGGATCAGAGGTACACTTTCGTTTAGGGTCTCAGACTGATAGCTGTATAGTATCTTGAGATCATCAGCATATAAGTAGGGTTTCCCAAATGTTATGGTGTTACATATATCATTTATATACATAAGAAACAAGAGTGGGCTCAATGCGCTTCCCTGGATGACTCCACTAGTTATTGGTCTAAGTGACGAGAGACAGTCATTGTACTTTACCATCTGTTTACGTTCGGTTAAGAACGAAGCAAAGCATGAGTAAAGTGGGTCATTTATTCCGAAGGACTTCAGTTTGACGAGAAGCCTTTTATGTGGGACCTTATCAAAGGCTTTTTTAAAGTCTAAGAAGAGGACTGATACAAGTAGTCCGTTGTCTCTTTTCAGAGTTATATCATTGAGGTAGTCTACTAGACATGTATCGCATGATCTTGACCTAAGAAACCCATGCTGAGAGGTCGAGATGAGATTATTAGTAAGTAGATGTTGGACTACAGCCGCCTTAACTACTCTTTCCATCACTCTAGATACCACTGAAGTTATGTTTATGGGTCGGTAATTGTCAACATTTGCTTCAGATCCTGTTTTAATTTTGGGAATGATATGTGTAGTTTTCCAGGTTGTAGGGTAACACGCTGTAGAGAGTGATATCACAAATAATTTGAGAAGCAAAACACACATATCATCACCTCCACGTTTTAGCATGCTAGCTGGAATACCATCTGGTCCATCAGTGTATGAGTGTTTCAATGTACTAATTGCCTTTGAGATATTTTGTACATTGAGGTCTACATTAGTAGTTTCATAGGAAGGTATTGGGATTGGTTCTGAATTGTCTAGTGGTCTTTTGTTAGTTATTGAGAAACAAAAGTGTTCACTAAAGAGTTCCGTAACAAGTTTAGGGTCTTCGTAAACTTGTTTGTCTTTAATGAATATGCTCCCTCTCGATTTGGAACGTTTAAGTTTATTTTGAAGGAGTATGGTCAGTGCAGAGGAGTTATTGTTAAGTTCGACTTCACGTTTTTCCTGCGCGACTGCTTTCTGTGTACTTATTGCCTCTGTTCGGATAATTATTCCAGACATCGTCACTAAAGAGGAAAAGTCATTAAAGTTGTGGAATCGAGTACAATGTCTTTGAAGACGTCTTCGTGTACCGAACAGCATATAAGGATCTTTGGAGACCGTAGGTCAACAGTATTCTAAAGGTGCGATTTTGTTGATGATACTACTGATTTTGAGATAAAATATATTGGTTAGTGTTTCAGTATCGTTTGCAGTAAAGAAAGTTCCTCAATCAGTGCTTCTTAGGTGATTGTGGAAGTTATTCCAATCAACCTTGCGATAGTTTCTACGAAGTGTTGAGGTTTTACGTCCACCGGTTGGGGTTTTTATATTAAGGCTGCACATGACAATGTTATGATCACTGCCTGGAAACCGTTTTCCAATATACACAGTATTGGGGGTGAGGCCACTGGTAAAGACTAAGTCTAAGATATTTTGATGTCTGGTAGGGATATTGACATACCGAGTCCATTGTCCGAGCTCTAGACATTCTATAAATGATTCATAACGCTTCGGCGCCTTGACTGGGAACCAGGAAATTTTGGGCATGTTGAAGTCACCACTAATAAGCTTGCCTGTGAATGGAAGGGATGAAGCTAGTGTGAATACCTCAGGTAGTACTGCTATGTCATCGATTGATGCGTTAGGTCGACGGTAAACACAGCCGAACGGTTAGGCAACGGAATTCGACGGCTTTAATACAATCCACACCGAATCCTTCAGTTTGTTTAGTTCAGGCATATCACATAGTAGTGAGTTTAGGCTAGAGTGAGCGTAAATCATCGGCAAAAAGGAAAGGTTTACCATACTGAAAGAGGGGACACACATCATTGATAAAAAGGAGAAAGAGAAATGGACCAATCACATATCCTTGTATAACCCCACTGGTTACATTCACAGGTTGAGAGTAGCAAGACCCGAAGCGAACGATTCAGCTACGTTCTTCTAAAAGACTTGAGCAAAGATAAAAGGGAATTCTGTATGCCAAATGAAGATAGTTTTAGAAGAAGTTTGTGTGAGACACTGTTGTGGTGATATGCCTGACAAATTTATTTTGTAAATAGTTTTTAATGTTATTTGTATTTATTCTGTTAACTTCCCACTGCATGTACATTTATCATTAAATGATTGTACCTGTTGTTTAAGTGTATGACCTTGAACACTTTTTCCGTTGTGATTCTAACATAGCGTGACACTATTGTGGTCGTTACCAAATACACTACTACGCACATACCTCTAGTTCTATATTCACTCGCATTTGTGTTAACCGAAGTCTGAATCAAATATCATTTACCTTTACAGACTGTAATTGGAATATGTCTTATATACTGCTGGATCATATCATTGTGGAATCCATCAAACTTACTGGAATTATTAACCGTCTATAATTGTGGATATTTAATACCAGATCAATTTGGAACACGCACTTTCCTGGTGAACTAAGTAACGTTCCTTATTTCTATTGTGTTTATAACATTTGACTTATATATATATATATATAAGTATTATTATTTGTTATTAATAACTCTGTTGTTGTCTTTTGGGTGATTATATTGTCTGGTCCACCACACTGTCGAAAGCCTTGCTAAAATCGAAGTAAAGAATTATCACTGACTGACCAACATCTCTTCTTTGGGTAATTTGATCGAAAAATTTCAGGTGCGATGTGGGACATGAGCGTTTAGTCATAAACCCGTCTTGGGATGGACTAATCGGACTAGCTGAAAGTAAAAATGATAATAGCTGTTTGTGGATGATTTTTTTCCATGGTTCTTGAGAGCACAGATTTTAAATTAATTGGCTTATAGTTAACAATATCACTACGTGATCCTGTTTTGAATCTAGAGGCGATAAGAGATGTTTTCCATACAGATGGATAGGTCCCATATTCCATAGATAGGTTGAAAAGTTTCAAAGAGAATAGCGGGAATTCTCTATTCCCATATTTCACAAATGATGAAGGGATCCCATCAGGTCCACCATCATAAGATTTTTAGGGCAGCTATGGTTTTCTTGATGTTGGGGGATGTAAAATCAATTTTCGATAGGCGTCTGGATGTCAGCACTGGAAATAATAATAATAATAATAATTTATATTCTGAAAAAATTATAATTACAGAATTCACGCCAGTTTACAGGCATGATCAATTTGATATAAATATCATTATATGTACAGAACAAACAATGTGTTATGAGTTTTAAGTTTACTAGCTCAGTAATTGTTTGGGTATTACAGCGATCCAATGTATCAGCCGGGAACATGTAATATTTCTTAACTGGACTGTCTGTTGATTTATAAACGATGTAATTAAGGTCATTTCGTGTGCCAGATCGATTTAATGATAAATATCTACAACTAGAGAAATTAAAACGAAAACAGAGAGCACGGAACAACAAAGCAGTAATTACCGAAATATGCCAAACAGATCTATCAAAATGCGTATGTCATGTGACACAGTGATATACTGCTGATGATATTCAAATTAGTTAAACTAGCTGGGGACGGTATTAACATAAAGTGACAGCGAGTAGGTGGTTTTATCCAGAGAATGCACTAATAAAAATGCCTAAACATTTAAAGTTCCTATAATAACACTTGTGGAGTGAGATACACTTGCGGGTGCTAGAGCATTCAATGCATTTTCGGAGGAGCAATATGCATCGATGCAACGTACAAATAATGGGAGTGATTTAATCGTACGGATATGTTCTGGTAGGTTATTCCAGAGTCTAGAAAATTTACAGGCAAAGTAATTCATATAAAGAGATGATTTAGAATAAGTTAGTTTCACAAGTGCCAAGGAATTACGGGTTTCATAATGAGGAGTCTCTGCATATTGAATTACATGATTGGATGTAAAGGATAATTTATTAAGTAGTTTGAAGAAAAAAATAAGATTTAGTTTGAGTCTCCTCTTCCATAAAGGGTCTAGCTCTAGTTTTTTACATCTAGAATTATAAGTTAAGGAACAATCAGCTCCAAGAATACGAAGTGTAAATCGTCTCTGTACTGATTCCAGCCTTAATTTATCCTTTATGCGCGCACTGCTAAGAATAAACGTGCAATATTCTAGAAGAGGTCGAACACAAACTTTGTACATTAAAATTCGTGATTCATTGTTATGAAGGTTTCGAATTATGTAACCTACTAGTCGTTGTGACTTGGAGGTCTGTTTCGATATCTGTTCTGTAAGCGATAAGTCTTGGGAGTATCTAAGTCCCAAGTCTACTACTGTATGTAACCTAGTTAACATTTCTCCATTTATGGTAAGGTCTAGGTTAAGTGATGTATCGCCGAAGCATATCCATCCACATTTAGCCGTATTAAGTTCCAGTTGCCATTTTAAGCACCACTGTGCTACCTTGTTAAGCTCCAAGTTAATGCAAGTTTGCACATTTTCCAGCTCATGTGGAGAAAATGAATATACTAGTTTAAGATCATCTGCATATAGAAGGGGCTTACCTACACAAAAATTTTCGCAAATGTCATTGATAAACACTAAAAAGAGCAAAGGGCCTAAGACACTACCTTGTATTACACCACTTCTAACGGGGACAGCGTTAGACAATGAAGAGTTAATTTTAACTATTTGATGTCGATTGCTGAGAAATGATTCAATCCAATCTAGCAAAGGATTTTGAACCCCATAAGATGCAAGTTTGCCTATAAGAAGTTGGTGGTTAACCATGTCAAAGGCCCTAGAAATGTCCAGATATAGCACTAAGACTAGATATCCTTGGCTACGTAGAGAGTAGACTAAATTAAAGAAGTCGAAATGACATGTCATGCAAGATCGATTTTTGAGAAATCCATGTTGAGTATCATTGATAAAGTTTCCAGCGAGTAAATAGTTGGAAAGTTCATCACTTACAATTTTCTCCATAATCCTAGAGATCACTGGAGTAATATTTATTGGCCGATAATTGTTCATGTCAGTCTTATCTCCAGATTTATAACGTGGTATGATGTACGCGGTTTTCCAACAGTAAGGGTAAGAACCAGTTTCCATAGAGAGAGTAAACAGCTTTAGAAGAAGAAGTGGAATATCTGGACCACCGTATTTGTAGAGAAAGGATGGAATCCCGTCTGCTCCATGACCGCGCGAAAGCTTAAGGGCATTTATAGCCATATTAATTTTCTTACATGTGAAGGAGATAGATTTTATGTAGTTGCTGGTCACGCACGTATCTCTTGAAGCAGAGCCACTTGTGGTTCCTACATCATTCGCAAAAGTAGCACTGAAAAGGTCTGCCATAGTTTTAGAGTCGTATATAAAAGTGTTATTATGCTGGATGCATGGTATATCAACATTTTGAGTTACTTTAGCGCGTTTATTGAGAAGTAGAGTTAAGTTTTGTATTTTTGAGTTACTATTAAGTGCTAGTATCTCCTCATTAATGGCTTTTAACCTATGTGTCTCTTTAATTTGATTAAAAATTATTGTTGTTTGCGCAGCTGCCGTGAAGTCGTTTGACTTGAAATAACGATTCTGTAGGCGTCTTAGTTTATTACGATATTGCAATGATAGAGCTTTCAGTTCCAGTTTTGTAGCATCGTGGGAAGTGCTTGCTGAATTTTTCACATATAATATAAGGGTTGTCAACAATGCTTCCATAACTATGAAGAATTTAGTCGTGGAAATAGAATGTGACTTCACATGGGATTTAAAAAGCTGAAGTATTGATAATTCTGAACTTTATTTTCTATATTTGTAAAATAATTGCGTTTGGATGAAGCATTTCTGTCGAATAATTTAAGTATACTCTAAAATGCATACACGTCATTGTGCTCGTAGTAGCGGCGTTTTAATTTCCTCAGCTTTCTTTTACAAGTATTCTGGCTCCTATTAGCATTATAAACCATATGGCCAATAACTGGAGCAGTGCACTCAAGGCAGTATATCAGGTTGTGGTATAGATTGGCAAGCGCAATGTCAACATTATTTGTGGTAAAATAAGTTTCCCATGGTAAAAATTGAATGAGAGTTTTAGTCCATTTCCAGGTTTGTTGATCAATGTGTCTGTTCTGGTACATCATTGAAGCTTTACAGTTCAATTGTATGGCGTTTAGAGAATGGATAATACTCAGTACAACCCTATGATCACTCATAAAAACTCATGACTTGTATGCACTGAGATAGAGTCTATGTTGATTGTAAACAATAAATCAAGTATATTATTCCCTCTAGACGGTTTGCGGACTTGTCGAACCCATCCACAAATTTCTAGTGTTTCAAATAGCTTGTTATATCGACCTGGTACCGGAGTCAAACCCCAAGCAATTTTCGGCAGATTAAAATCACCTCCGATGATTTTAAAAGTATGAGGTTGGTGCGAAGCAATGGAAAAGATGTTTGTTAGTAACTTGTCAAACTTAGTATCTGCATGAGGTGGTCTGTATTTGCATCTCACCAGTAGATAATTTTGAGATCCACAGTTTACAGAAACCCAAGTGGAGTCGTCTATAGCATCAAGAGATTTATCTTCAAGTTTGCACGCCTGAAAGTCTGAACGAACATAGGTAAATGTACCGCCTCCTAATCCATAACATCTACCGCTTCTAAAGAAAACGTAGTTATCCACATTCAAGGAGTGATCAGATATAGATGAATCGCACGACGTTTCCATAATAAGTACAATGGTTGGATTTACAAGGAAAAAAAGGGTTTTAAGATGAATAATTTTATTGGACAGAGAGCGGGCATTGAACGAAAGAATAAGAAGCTCAAAGTTATCATGTTAAAGCAGGCTAGAGTATAAATCGCAATCGGTAGTTCTATGAATACTCGTAGGATTGGCTAAGGTAAGAGTTGTGCTGCGACTGGAAATAGATTCAACCATTTTGTCATCATTTGAAATATTTTTGCCGTTGCCGGCAGAAAAGCCGGCGGCATTACAAAAAAAGTCTTCTCATTGATATTGGATATAACATCTGATAAAGGCATAGTGTACATATCGGGAGCCGGACCAAGAAGGCTATCTGGTCTATGTGTGCGACCAAATGGCCATTCGCAATTCAGATTACTATTCATACCTGACGTATGAGTAACATGTTCCAGATGTTTGTTTCCAAGGTTTGTGGTTAATATCGGCTTCTTCATAATTTGAGGAGAATCGTGTGTTTTTAAACATAATTGTGATGGTTTGCGAAGTTCGAATATATCGACGTTAAGTGTGTGGTCAGTTATAGAAGTGTTACGATTAGTTTTCCTGTTATCCGTTGCACAGTTACTGCACCTGGGTGATGCACTAACAGGGACTTGGCCTGTGTTATCTCATTCTTCATCAACGCAACAAATTCGGGTTGAATCTAAGTCAACATTTTTAAGAGGATGGACACCACCTACATCGGGATTACTTTCTTTTGAGTTTTGAAATTTGGGAGATTCAGAAGAGTTTTTTGGTAGCGGCATACTTTTAAAGCTAGACGTCCTCTTAGAATCGGACTTATTTTTATGACCATTAGGATTATGATGCGTTTAGAAGTTTGACGCTGGTGGTCTGTAGCAATCTCCTCCTGCTTTTCGCTGGCATGGTGTTCTATCTGGAAGAATCCTAATATCCTTGAAAATCTGTTTTTGTCTTAATGAATTGGGGAAAGTTAAAAATTCACTGGCGTCTACAGATGAGTTGAATTTGAACAAGACCTGTGAGTGCATACCAGGGTGACTTTTTTAATCTTGTGCATATTGCTGGCTCTAAGCAGACTAGATTTGATATTTTTAAGGGCATATGTGTCCGGTATATTAAACTCAATTGCATTGCTAGATCGTCTTATTCTTTCAAATACCTCTGATGCGACACGATGTAGGAAATTATTTATGTCATTCGTTTGGTCTGAAGTCTCTGTGGGGTTGGGGTTGATGAGATATTTAAGCGAATTGAGGATGTTCATGTCAACTTGAAACTTTTTTATGTCATGCATATGGTTGTAGTCGCGATTATCATTACTGTCTACCAACAGAGTCTTCAACATATCTGGAATGGAGACAACTGGCAAAAGCTTGTCTGCTTCCGGATGAACGGAGTGGCTTGTCTCGTTGAAACTGTCGAAATCATGTCAGTAGTATTATTAGATTGTGTCGTTTTCCTACGTTTGGCTGGACGCCAAACAGAAGGGGTCTTCATTCGCTTTTGTGGCAGGATAAGAAAGTGACGTACAGCAGATGGATTGAACAAAATGTTGAAAATAGAAATGGGTGAAGAATCAATGCCAAGGGCTCAATTTAGTCTAGAAATCAAAACCTGTGTTTTAACCAAGAGTGAATGTATCGTGAGGATTAGTGAGGGTGTCAAAAACAAGAGATGAGAATGGCAGGAAGATAGTAGTGGAGATGTAATATTTATGTCAGTATCCGAGTGGAGGCAAAATAGAACATAATGGAGCACGTTGTGTAAATTTTAACACATATATTACACGACAGATAGCCTTATATAACAAAGTAATCTGGAAATGTCGATAATTAGTATCGAACAATCAAAGTGAGTACGGTATGTGATACATATACAAACCGAAAGTCAGCATTAGTAAAAATTGGGAGGTGTAAAGATAAGTAGTTTAAAAGGTTATGTTGCTTTTTGAACAAAGAAAAAAATTACAACAGACTCACCGAATTTGGCAGGTAATTTCGGAAATTAAATGAGTTTTAGTATCCAAATACGATTTAAATGACAGTGGGTTATAGCATCTAAACACGACAAAACTATATACTCCTTAAGGAATAGAATACAGATATGAAATGCAATTCTGTGGTGTTTGAATGAACTAATGATTTCTTTGTACTCGTTGAATGCTTGATTTCGAATTCTAAATACAATACATTCCTTAGTGCTTGTGTAGTACTTCTTGATTCAATTGCGTTATTTCTGGGATTCTTAGTTCATACTATAATTCAATTACTCCTAATTATCATATTGGCGTCGCGATGAGGCCTGCGATGGAACAGTTAGGTATTCATTCGGATTTTGATGCCTATGAGGATTACTTTGAAAGGTTCGAAATCTGGACTATGACCAAGGAAGATGATGAGAATATTAATATTGTGGCACATTTGCTCACATTCATCGGGAAAGAAGCATATAGCTTATTGAAAATTTTGGCTTTACCGGTAAAGCTCATTTCTCTTTCTTATACAACTCTCAAGGAACTACTTCTGGACTATGTTAAGTATACAAATTTCGAATGCAGTAAAAAGCGATTTCGTAAAATGATTCATGATGATATAAAAAGTTCCACTACATTACGTTAACCCATCCCAGTGCATACTCAAGGTTATGCAGATAATTCATTGAGGAGTTGCAATGCAGTTCACGAAGACAGGCACACGTTTGGTCAATGGTTGTCCTGTGGCAGGTTCCACTTTTTTAGTTCATGCAAATTTTATAATTCTAAGTGCTTTAAATGTGATGATGTTGGACATATTCACTCAGTTTGTAATTCTGATCCTGATAAGTTGAGTATTTATAATGACCATTTATCCTTATCAATGATTTCAAAAGACAATTTAGAGTCGTATAGCAGTTCTGAGTTAAATAAAACTCAGAATCCTTCCAAGACAACAATTCCTAATCAATCAAGCTATCAGATTTCTCATGTTATTATACCAGATATGATTTTTCCTAATGATTCACATATTTCTGGTGAAATTTCTTACAAATCTGTTGAGAATATTTCGGATGAACCTAATCATGATCGAAAATCTGATGTAGTTTTGATTGATGCTGATTTTTCTAATGATCCTTTACTCTGCAATGACATTCTTAATAAATTTGAGGAAACTATTTCAGAAGAATCAAATCTTGGTGTCATATCAAATATTATTTGTCCTCATGATGTATTTGTTTCTTGTGGGAAACTTGTTCGATGCGAAGCACGAGTATTAAATGAGTTAGAGTTTGATTACAATTCAGATAATTCCATATCAACTGTTGTTTGTCCTTATCATAAATTCACTTCCAATGTTTACTCTAGTCAAATTGAGAAAGATATTTTAAATGAAGCCACATTATTCATAACTTGGGGATATGATGATCCGACATTATTTCGTGGGGAGGATAGTCTGAATGTCTATGGTCGAAATTCTAGGTAGTAGTAGTTTCAGTATTCAACCGACATGGTGATTGTTCACAATCCCATAAATTAAGTGAGTCTGTTCCGATTTCCGTTATTAATTCTAATACTAATGAGTGCATCCTAGATAATACAGAGTCTTTATCCAATACACTGTTGGACAGACACAGGATGAACTTAAGAAGAAGACGTGCAATCAATTACAGACACCTGGACTCCAATTTAAGCTGTGGCGGATGTGGTGTTTGAATGAACTAATGAGTTCTTTGTACTCGTTGAATGCTTGATTTCGAATTCTAAATACAATACATTCCTTAGTGCTTGTGTAGTACTTCTTGATTCAATTGCGTTATTTCTGGGATTCTTAGTTCATACTATAATTCAATTACTTCTAATTATCAGGAATCCTTCGTCAAATATGA